TCCAAACAAAATGAATTGTTTAGCTCATCTACTTCTGCATGTAGACGAGAAATCAAGTAAAAGGATTCCCTTTACTACGATTGCTCATGCTTTTACTATTTAAACATTTCTATTCGGTTTTATTTTTCTTAAAGAAAAAAGAAACGAATGCACATAAAAAAAAAAAACATTCTTTTCTTTAAGCAAAGCATTGAATTTCGTATATATATATATATGTATATATAAGTATATGTATGTATACTAAAGAATATAAAATAGACTGAAATGAAAAGAAATAATATAAAAATACGTGCTTCCACTGACAGGCCTGGCTGGTTACTCTACTTTGAGGCAATATTGTGCTTCTCATCATCTTGAATTCCTTAGTTTGTTTCAAGGTAGAAAAAAAAGTATGTACAAAGAAAAAGAAAGAAAACCGTACTGAACGTGTACGTAATCAAGCGAAACTTTCTTATTCAAGGCTTGCAAAGTGGTTTTAAGTACCATTCATCCAATCAGGCACATGCATACATATATATATATATATATATATATACTCTATATATATATATAGAGTAACTCACTTATTCACCCTTTTGCTTACGGAATAGCTACTTGGCGGCGGCTGTCAGTGTAAGGGAGTTACTTACTATAAGGAAATCATACAAATGCTAAATAACCTCAATTGAGTTCAAGACAGAGGCAACCAAATATTCTTTACAGGTACACATATATATATATATATATGAACACGTGTGGGACGTATTACAATATAAGATAAAGAAAATTAAATTAAAAATATATAAAATATAAATAAAGTTAAATATATAAAAATGATTAACATATTACGTTATCCTGTTTAAGGAGAACAAGATATTAATATACTTGTGCAGGAAATATATATAGATTCCATTTTTAGTAAAACTTTTTCTTATTTTCAATATCTAGAAAATTCCAAAAGCTATTTAATGTCTGATATGATCAATTAGGGATTAGGGTATAGTCCCTGCTTTCGTGTAGCATGGTAACATTCAGAAAGGATTAAAAGAAGAGAAAGTCGAAGTGATAGCGAGCCTGTATATAATCAGTGCACTCACTACAGCTGCGGCACTTGAAACTTGAACCAACACTAAACACTGACTTGGTACTCGCGCGTCTTACGTCTCGTCTACTCGGCTGTTCACGCTACTCATATTAATTAATATATGCTTGCTTCAGCATGATTATGCTTGTAACTAAGTGTTTGCTTCTCGTTAATCATCCATTTTTACTAATAAGAATGTTTCTCGCGTAAACAGCTTTCATTTGCTTGTTCTCCGTTGCCGTTATATTAATACTAAACAAACAAGTTGAATTATTGAGGTTATATTCAGCTAATACATAGTCTACAAATCGCCATTCATTTTATTCTTTAACTCGAGTGCTTGGGCCTACTTTGTAGCAGTCTTTTTCTCATAGGACTAGAACGTTTTTAGTACAAAGCACGTACCATTTAATGTCACTGCTAAGCAAAGTTAAACTCTTCTTCGGCTTAGAAATTCTTTAAAAAAACGATGCATGTCTTATGCTTCCAACTTCTCGTTCCTTCTCGCAGTTTATCTGCATTATTAGTTTCAATATTCCCTTAAGGTGGTTAGTCCGTCCGTGAATCAATCGGCCCGCAAGGGAACATAGCATATCTCTGTGGAGAGACAGCGTTTGTTCGAAGTACTAGTCTCCACGGAGTGGATTTATAAACTAATGTAAATTTCTCCACTTGCTTTAATATATCCCGTAACAAATGTCATTTTATTTTTATCCTTATTTTCACTTTATTAGTTACATTATAAATTTTCGAATGTTGTAAAGTTTATAATTATACAATTTACAAATCATGATAATATGATAACTTAATTACATATTTAAGTATAAACATATATTAACTACATACGTATATAAAAAAGTCTAATAAAATAAATAAAAAAAATAAAAAAAATAAAGAAACTTTAGTTTGAATAATTAAAAGATTTATTTCATAAATTTATCATTAGTACTTTTTGCGTATGACAAAAGACGTTTTCATAAAAACCATATGCAAGAGAGTGCCTGTGCAGCGATGTATTTGCTCAGACATAACTTTGCTATCTCACTTTGTTAAAACGAAAACGAGAATAACAATAACAACCAAAACGAAAACTTTTAATTAGATCTCTACTTAATACCAGAAAGCATTCATTTTACAATATTACCGTTATTTCATGATTATGCATACACACTCAGCTCTTGGTTTACGTGCACATGATTATGCGCAAAATTAGTTTACATACGGGAAACGAGAGGAAACGAGTTACTTACTGAGTTAAAGAAAAACAAAATTGATTCTTCGATTAGATCCCAAGCCTGAAAGTTGATTGAAAGAATGCAAAGAGTAAAAAGTTCGTAATAATCATATAAAATGAGACAAAGGGACTTGTCCTGTTAATAATCACCTTTTTGAAGCAAGCATATCTAAGTGGGAAAGTTTTATTCTTTTTACGATTAGTTACTTGAATACTCACTGTTGCCATTTCCTATCGCCTTCTCATTCCCCACCAATATTTAAAAAAATTTTTATATCCATATAGATATGAATTAGGTCATATTAAAAAGTCTCCGCAGTTTTTTGTGATTTTCAGCTTATCTCTTTGTCTGATGTCTGTCCAAGTATTTTTATCTTCAATGTAAAGATTGTTCAAGTTTTAAGATATTTTTATTAATTTGTTCGATAATGGGTGATATAAAAAATCTCCGCGGTTTTTTGGTCTTCTTTCGAGCTTCTGTTTGTAGCCCGCTCTTTTCAAATAATTCCAAACAGTCATGTGGCTGATGTTTAGTGCCTCCGCTATTTCCTGACGAGTTCATTTCATTTACTGGCCGACCAAGGCGAGGTGCCTCTTTGACATCTAAATTTCGAGCGAATCACTCTTGGTTCCTTTGCTCACTCACAGCATTCTCACCGTACAAATTTTTTGGCATGCTTTTGCATGTTTGCATCATATAGTGCATTTCTTCCGATGTTTCACTCATTTTTAAGTCAATATAACTTTGTACACGTGCAAAAAATTAGAAAACTACTTTCAGAAGAAACATAAGCTGAAATGTCACCTTCTAAGTACATGTTCGGTTAAGACGATGAGTATATCGACGTCAACAGCACCTTGCGGAAAAAATCGCAGAAAATTTTCAAAATGACATAATGTATGTATATGTGAAGCACCACTCCAATGACAACTCTAATGACTACTACAACAGATGTGAAACTTTGTAAATAGTGATGACCATATTAAACTATCCAGAAACAATTCTCATCGGTCTCCCGTTACCCATTTAACGCTTCTCTGCGCTCACATTTACTTAAATTATGTATTAAAGAGATTAGAGAGCGAGATCGTAAGAGTATCACCTTCTTTTCCATCTTTCATCTTAATTTTTGCAACTCTGAAAATTCTCACGGGCGTTACGTTAACACTTATCTAGTGCACTTATTGAGTTCAATACTGGACGGAAAACTGTAGTTCGAACTCAAATTTTACATTTCCTTACGGATTCAAAACTAAACAAGTAGAAAAGTTGTATCCGACCGCATCCGAACCTTTTGTACCCATCATCGGTATCCTAAAAAGAATTGAAAAAGAGAAAAACGCAAAATTTCCATTTCCAATATAATGATGCGTGGTCCAACTTATCCTGTTTCTGTGCAGAGCATATTGTACAAAGCATAGAAAGGTTATGGAGTCACTTTAAACCTCTTACGACTAATAATAGGTTTGATATTGAGTGGTAGCGAGTTTTAGAAGACTTAAGAGTGTTAACAAAAAATAATCAAAGTTGTTTAGACTCATCGTGCTTTCAGATATAGTAAAGAGAATCATCTCAAATATAAATATTGTGGAGTACGAGAGTGAGATTAGCTTGTGAAGAAAGATTAGATGGGAATTTAATATTCTATCATATTTTCGTTTATTGCAAACGTATTTGACGCACTTCTCCAGAACCTGCAATCCTGTTATTTATTCCTAATAAAAACGATCTAGGGCCCGGGCCAAGATTGAATTTTAAGACTTAAAAATATTCACTGCCTTTCGATAGCCTTTTTCTAGCCCTAACAACTGTCAATGATTATCAAGTTATTCTCTTTTTTCAGTTAGTTTCAGCGTAAGTGAAACAATGCCATGCAAATCGAGGCATCAATGTTGAATGCATGAAAAGTTTAAGAGAGCGCGTGCGATAGAGGAAGAGAGAATGTTACTCAACACTATTAAAGGTTTAATACTTTCTTTTTCATTCATGTGTTCATTTACTATTCATTTTGCATGAGAAATGACCTCAGCTGTGCGAACGAAAAGAAAAAAAAACAAAAAAAATAAAAAAATAAGAAAAGCGAAAAGAGAAAACTAAGTAAAGTTATATACGGAGACAGAAAGAAGCGTTGGCTTTTATGCATATATCTATGTATGTATTAGTATGTTTGTGTAATGTTTTATTACTCTTTAGTTTTTAATGATTGGTTGAATTATTTAGCTTTTAACGGGTACACAAAATCATGTGTGATATGCAATTTATTAATGAGTGCGGATAGGTAAACATTAAAAGATAAGTAACATACCATAGATCATAGTAAACTAACCGTCCAAACGTGTTAAATTAAAATGAAAAAATGCCTGCCACTGTCATTGTTTTAAGATTCTATTCTATCTTTGACTATCCTATTGCATTAAAACACGAGGAATAAAACAAAGCACGCACTGTGTATTTACTTTTCATCGTTGAAACAGTTGAAATCCGATCATTATCATGTTAACTATTTTAAACTAAAAAAACGGATGCATTTGATACTTTCAAGGATGAATTTTATAAACTTTTTTCAAAATCTCTCGTGCGTAATACTTTTGTGTAATACAAGTCTTCTTTAAAGCAACGCAAGCCAAAAGCAAGCTTTAGTTGCTTTAATTAGCTTAATAGTGGAAAATAAACCGTAATAATAAGAATAATGTTCGTCTTACATTTGCACGATATTGATATTAAATGGTGTTGATATTTGCTTTTTCGATGGACACATTCACTTGTGCGGAGGTGTCAAGCAGATCTTACGAAAATACATCATTTATGCTCTAGCCTCCAACAATTTTTCCATTATAGCTTGCATCAGTTGCAGTACAAAGGTATATCAAATTGTGTGTGTGTGTGTGTGTGTGTGTGTGTGTCTGCAACACTCGGAACAGACCTGAGAGAGATCGAATTTTTAGTTTACCAATCGATTCATAATCACTTTCTGATTTGATTTGAAGCGTGTATGTCCATCTGTCCATTTTGTTTTCTTGTGTTCAACAAATTTTTGAGATATATTGATTTGCTTGACCCAAAGACGAACAGTTCGGATCGGGTCACTTTTGCGACCACTTTCCATTTTCCCATCATACCACAATTCGTGTAGGGTATAAAAAGCGAGTTAAAAGCATATCTAACCACTCAATTGTATATGATGAATATATACTTCACGACCCATCCATCTGTTGTTGTCGGATTTCCTCGTAAAAGTTTATCATTATGAATGTATATTTGTCCTAATAATGTATTCTAGAAAATATTTTCGTTATTTTGTCATACTGTGTGGTTGACGGGTGTATGAGTACATAGCTAAAGAGGTCGACGCGGTTAACTAGTTAATTACAGAAAATCTGTGGGAAGCGTGTTTTCGAATATTTATTCTACTGTCACCGATATGCGGACAGAAGGACTGACTTATAAAACGATTAATAGTGACTTTCTCGAAGATGTTATAAAAATTTCCCTTAAATGCTCAATTGCACAGCATCCATTTTTGCGGACGACATCACCATACTCTATAGAGTGTAGAGTGGGCTCTATTCGAACGGCATTGGCACGAACTTGCAATAAACTTTACATATATCAGGCAATAATGGGAATGGCTGGAAAATTTCGGACAATCTGTCGAACAAGAAAAGATGCAATTATTATAAACCGCAATGTCATTTGCATAAACAATGTCAAACTTGATTGGTATTCTAATGGGATGCCGAACAGCCTGATAGATGAGAGTCGCTGTCTACCCGGAATCAAATCTTATACTTGATTCTAGCCATAGTGACTGCTCACTCGATAAGCACATAACCCTTATCCCTTAACCCTCCCAGTCTCTTCTTCTTTGCCCACTTCTTTCTGCCTCTATAATGCCTATATAATGTTCACGAGTTCAAATCTCAGTACTGTAGGCCATACTAGGCTGTAACTTTAGTGAATACTGAACTGGTTTTAGACTGAAAGCCAATCCTTATCGATTATGCTGCGACCGTTCGCTGTTTTTTTTCTTTATCTATGCTACGTTCTGACCACATTAAGTCGGTGTGGGCGAATTCAAATTTCCGTTCGACAGATCATTAAGTATGGTCGCAGCTACAGCGAGTGCTCAGTCAGTAAATGCATAAACTCCATTAAGACTGTGCTACTTTCTGTCGCTTTCTTTAATTTCCCATTTTTCTCTGGCTATATCAGATCGGTGTTGACTACTTCAAATTTCAACATTGTAAGCCGTACTTGATCGTAGCTATAGTGAATGCTGAGCTGAGAGCTGTTAGGCTGAGAGCCAAGTATTTATCGGTTGGGTACACGCCCATTAGGCTGCGACCATTACCTATCCCTATCACTTTGCCCAATTTTTTCCGGTCCTCACCATATTTCACCTATAGTGAACAGGCTCTGTCAGAAAAAAAAGCTAAGCATTCTTGATGCTAAAGTTAACTTCGGCGAACGTATGTTACATATTGTAAATAAAACGAGTAAATAAGCGAGTAAACTCTTATATAATTTAATTAATCGAAAATCCCCATTAAGTGAAGTACACAAAGTGTTATTGTTTAAAGCTTTTTTTAAACCCATTAAACTGTATGCAGCTCCCGCTTGGCGAGATGTTGTTGAAAAAACTTCAAATTCGGTAAAGCAACAAAGCATTAAAAACGATATGAAATGTTCGATGGCATTATTCTACGTTACGACTGCATACAATTTAATTGATAACATTGAGTTGATCAAAGGCAGAGTTAATACACTTATATACAATTAGGATATAAAATGTGAACTTCCTCCTTCTCTTATGACAATATTAATTGACTAGTAATCCATTACAGTTAGGATAATAAATAAAAAACTTTTTTTTTCTGCATTTTACTTTAAAAGGTTTGGGTAAATTTTTTTGCCTTAATTTATTTATATTATAGACAATGTTTTCATATTTATTTACATAATTTTGTGTAAATTTGTAAATAGCAAAGAATGTATCCCGAACGTGAATCCTTGAAAATAGATATGTATATATACATTTTATGCAAATAGTATTAAGAGTTATGATAATAATGAAATATTATTGAATATTTTGCCTTGAAGAATTTATCTGCCATATAAACGAACGAATGGATGGGTCAATCCATAAACTTTACATAACTTAAAGAATATTGATTGTGATGAAACAAAAGGATGTTGAGATATATTCGAATTTAATCAGCAAATATATCTACCAACTCTGTTAGCAGAGTTCTGTAAATGCCCTAACAATGCTCGATTGTTCAATATCTGAAATATAGTGAAAATATTAACTTGAGAAAATGACAAAGGAAGAGTCCTGTTCAAGTGTTCAAGTCCATCGGAACAATTCAAATTAAGTCTAAACTGAATAAAAATGTGTAATAAAACCCTTTTCTTTGTCTAACAACTATTGAGCTTTCAACTTACCTAAATTTATTCATTTGCTTTCTTTCAATACATCTGCACACATATTTTAGCTGACGTAACCGTATTAGTTTTTATATTTATACTCGCTCACTATGCTATGTCGTCTTGTTCACATTCACATTCCTGTTTATCTGTACATTCATTTTCATATTCATAGTCATGTTTGATTTCCTATTCCCAATCGTATCCATTTTCATGTTTATGTTCATAATATTTTTCGTATTCCCACGCTTTATTCATATTCATACGCATACACATAATTGTTGTTATATTTATATTATTGTTCATACTCATGTTCATATTTCCGTCGGTGTTTGCGTTCATGTGCGCAGACGTGTTCTTATTCTTCTTCGTAGATGCATTCGTATTCCTATTCATATTCACGATCATAGTCGTATGTATATGTATTTTCATCTACGCATTCATATTCATATTTGCGTTTATATTAACCTTGTTGTTTATGCTAACGTTCCCGCTCACATTCATATTTCTATACATATTCATAGTCATATTCATAATTATGTCTATATTTATTATTGTTTCCGGTTATGTTAGGATTCGCGCTCATGTTGACATTCTCATTCGTTTTCGCATTCGTTTCTCCATTCACATTCATGTTCATAGTCATATTCATATTCATTTTCGTGTATACTTTCATACTCCAATGCGTATTCATATTGATAGTCGATATTCGATACATATTCATATCGCTAGTCATAATTCGATCCGTATTCATATTCTTATCCATATTCGTATTCGTAACTAAGCTATATATATGTATATTATTTTTTATGGTTTGTTTTCATTTCGCATTCATCTTCTTGAGCATTTGTGTACATATACACATTTATTTTTGTTGTTATGCTATTGTTTATGCTTATGTTCATGTTCACATTCATATCTTTATGCATATTCATATCCATATGTCCATGCATATTCATATTCATATGCCTACGCATATTCATATTTATAATTATGTTCATATTTCCTATTGTTTATCGGCATGTTGTGATTTGTATTCATATTCGCTACGTAATCCCATCCGTATTCCTGTTCATAGCCATACTCATAGACATTCTCATATTCATATTCATAACTATATTTATTATTGTTTATGATCATGTTGGGTTTCGTGTGCACGTACGCATTCTTATTCACATTCGCATTCATATTCATGTTCGTAATCATATTTATATTCTTTCTCGTATTTATTTTTATTATTATGTTATTGTTTATGTTTATATTCACGTTCATATTCATAATCTTTTTCATATACACATATAATTTTTTTAATGCTTTGGCCCTTCATTTTTATCAGAATCAACATTCATTTCATTATCCACCCAACTAATGTAGCTGCAAGAGCATAAGCTATAAGCAAGCGTTGAGTATGACCTTTCAACGAAATCAAACTTTCCTACAGGGTTAATAAATTAACGCAATTCCACATCAGTGCTTATCATAACAGTTTAAGCAAAACTATGTTTTATTTAAAAATAAAACATCAAAAAAAAAAAAATTAAAAATTCTGACAAAAAATAGGAAATTAGCTTTTATTAAAACATAAACTAAAGCGAAACACCAAAAAACAAACTGGTATTAGTTCTCATTCATTCGTACATTCGTTCATTCATTCATTCATTCATTCATTCGTTCATTCATTCAGTAAAAGCGAACCATATTACTGCTTCATTACGGTTTCAGGCAACAACAAGAACAACAAATAAGTTTTCATAGCGCTAAAGCAAAGTAAACCAGAAAAACTGCTTGCGCACAGTTATAGGCAGACAAAATACTGCAATAATTACGCCTACGGTGTTATTTGTTAAAGTTCTATGTTTTAAGGATACTGCCCTAGCTTTTCATTCACATCTTTTGTTGCTTTTTGTCTTCCCTTAGGCGCCTTGCACGCTTCCACACTATCACAGAGTTATACGACACTACAAGACATTGACAAAAATAGAAAAAAAAAAAATACATATTCGAAGGAAAACCGGTAATATTCGTCTACCTGTTAGCCTACACAATTAAAAGATTTCAAACATGTCTCTCTCTCTCTCTCTCTCTCTCTCTCTCTCTCTCACACTCTCTTACTTAAATAGTCCTACAAATATATCTATAGGGGAAAAGTGCAATTATATAACAGATTCGTAATAAAAAGTTTTTGAATCTTTACTCCATGCATGGCGCTATGCCATTACGTGTGGGTTCTTGTGAATGAAAGGAATCTTAGCTCTATGGGGCAAGTAGAAGAATAGCGATGACGCCGTTGTATGGTTTATGGTTATATGGCTGCTTAAGTGTAAGCAGAAGTACTGCTGTGTTGATCGGCTAATGGCCACGAAGAACGTGCATATAGACAATCGTTCTATTGACGTAAAATCAATTGAACGTCTAGTGATCTTTATGGTTTGTTTAAGATCAAAGACTTACTTCAAAAACTCTTCTTGATACATCATTTTCATATATAATTCGCAGTATAGTTAAGGTTATCACTTTTGGCAGAATTGAATGGAGCAGTTAAAGAATTAGAAGAGAAAAAAAATGTCGAATAAAATGTACGGATACCTAACTGTAAGCAATGCTACTGCTGAGTTGAGAGAAAGACGCAAAAGCCATACGATTACTTAAGTATAGCTAATGATATTCTTGAGTGGTGGCTATGAGCTCGTAGTTCAGTCAATCGAAAAACTAAAAGCCGTTGAATCCGATGTAAGCAGGAATACTGCTGAGCGTATATCAAGTCAAAAATTGTGAATTCGTTATAATTGATTAAGTCAGTTAAAGGCTTTTTTCACAAGACAGAGAAACGGCGCTCGTTTACATGGTACACGTGTACATTATTCCCTTTGAATCAAAGATATCGCAGTTCAAACTCAAGTTGCAAACACTACTAATAATTACGATAGCACTTCTGTAAGCGAGAAGACAGAGAGAAAATCAATAATATGCATTAAAGAATATCTCAGATATCGGTCAGTGACTATTGGTTCCTCAAGATATTTCACATAGTTATAGGCGAAAACTGACAGCTTCGTTTAATGTAATATACCCTAACAAAATTAGAGGGCTCGATAGAATAATCGGATCACAATGTTATATTCACACAAACGACCAACAACGTTACCACATAGAAGAACAATGTTAACGAAGAACAAAAAAAACAAAACAAAGGCAACAAAAAAAAAAGGAATGAAAATAAAAATGCTAAGAAACAATCTTTTAAACAACTTGTTGGTCTTTAGTGAATGTACTCTTAAGCGCATAACGTACAGCAGAGCATGTTGTCTTCTCCATGACAACAGCATAAAACTTGCATATATCAGCAATAACAACAATTTAGTGTTAAAAAGTATAAAA